AGAGATGAGCCATACTGCCCCATGTGCCTCCCTCCTTTCGCCCAGGCAGCGCTTTTGGAGCTGGAAACAGATGCTCCCAACTGCCCCGTCTGGATGGACGTCAGAGGATAAGGCCTCCCTGCGGGATTCTGGTTTGCGGTCCTCCTAGGTGAACTCTGACTCCCCTCTCAGGAGAATTGGAGCCCCCAACTCTATGAATTCAGCACTCCAGCCGTTATCAGGAGGGGCCCCCAGACAGAGAAGGAAAGGGAAGGACTTCTTTCTTGCCCGGTGCCGGTGAGCGATACCGTGCTTAATCATCACCGCAAGCCCGGGCGTCCTATCCCCGTCCACACCTGGTCTGCAGTGGAGCCCCTGTGCCTGGTCCAGACTGCCTGCTCTTTCCTCTACGCCAAGTGACATGCATTCTCCCACTGCATTCTCTACTGTGCCCACAGATGACCAAAGAATTGTGCCAACTGCCTCTTCCCACTAAGACCTGGCTTCTCAAACCATGAGCCGTCATCACCCGCCAAGCTGGTTAAATGCATACTCCCAGGTCCCAGAACGTGTGAGTCAGTAGGTCTTGGACGGGGTCCAGGAATTAGCATTTTAGCTCTCCCCCAGAGGCTCCTCCTGTTAGGGGTCCATGGTCGATGCTTTGAGAAACGCTGGATCACTTACTGATCACAGTGAAGTGGTGTACCTGCCTTAGCTCCGTGGGTGTGCCTGTTTGTCTGTGTGTGTGTGGTTCTGGAAGGATGGTCCATAAAATTTCAGTAGTGGTGATCTCCAGGTATAACGAGATTTCAAGAGATTTTAGATATAGTTCTCTTTTATAATGAGCATATAACTTTTATAAACAGATAAAGCCATCAAGCCTTTCTCATGGGTTCCTTTCTCATAGAGGAAATATTATATAGAAAGTAGGTTTGAGGGAAATGTGGACCAAGGGAAAGGAGGCCACAGGTGTAAATGCATCTGTTTTATCTCTGTGCCTCCCAACTCCTAAGCCGGCCACTGGTGGCCTGGAGAAGGGAGAAATGTCACACCTCCCATTTTCAAATTGTCTGTTCTTGGCAAAGCTGGGGCCAAAGTCTCGCCTGGGAGTTTGGGATGATGGAGTTGGGCCAGAAGGCTGGGCCTCCCTTTCTGTCTGCATCCCTAGAGTCCGGGGCCCGATGAGCTGCTCCTCCTCCTCCACGCTGCCCCTGCCTGCGGGCACCCTGGCCGGCCAGGCAGAGCCGGGATGGGGCTTTTATGGCGCTGTTATTACCCTCTTCTTGCTCAGGAAACCCACACGGGAGTCGGGGGCCCAAACACTCCGTGAGAAGGCCAGACTCCTTCCAGGGAAATGGTTCCCTACACCTTTACAACGTGATAGGTGTGGTGGAAAAAAGCGGCCATGCGATTTATGGAAACTATATAAAGTTTATGGAGTCTTGGCAGGCCAGAAGTAGGAAAGGCCTGGGGGAGGGGGGTGGGCATCTGAAATGGAGAAGGAAGGCTGTGAAAGAGCGTCAGACGCCAGACAAAGTACCCCAAGTCCAGGGCGTGCTGTGTGACTAGGGGGCGGGGAAGTGGCCCTGATGGAACAGCTATTGGGGATCCCTTGTGGGGTGATCCCATTGCATCTTCACAGCATTCCTGTGCGGGAGGCACAGTCATCCTCATTCTCTAGAGGGGAGACTGAGGCAAAGGCACTTTGAAAGTCATGAGCTTGTGCAAGGTCGCACGGCTAATGGCGTGTGGCTCTCCGGTGGATGTTCTGGGGCAGGCTGAACTCTCAGTCTCTCTCTCCAGTGTATTGAGCCATGTGTCCCAGTTTCAGGGCCAGAAAACACTGTCTCCGTACCCTAGTTCAGTTTGGGACTCATCTGCTATTTGTGTTTTAGTCTCACGGTCCCCTGGTATCTTCAGTCATCACCTTCCCCTCTCATGGGTCAGCCTTGCTGTCGAAGCTGCTTGGTGCCCAGATTCGCCCACTGGCCTTGGCTGGGTTGGAAGGGAAGATACCCAGAGGATGGCTCTGGATCAGGGCAGAGGTAGCACGCTGTCTTTGCCTTCAGGAGCCCCTCCATGTCCCACTTCTACCATGGGATCCTCTTAGGGCCCCTGGAGGAATACCCCATGAGGTCTGAAATGTCTCCCTCCCATCCTGTCAGCCCCTGAAACGTCTAGTTCATTTCTTCTTGCATATGTGCCTTGTGGCATCCGTGTTTTTTCTCTCCTGCATGGCTGTGAATTCTTGAAGTGCAGATTCCATGAATACTTGGTTTTTCATCTCTGATTTTGCCTACAGGGTCTGGCATAGTCCCAGCAAAGAGTAGTCACTCAATGAGTATCAGCTGGGAGGATGGATGGACGACCCAATAGATGGATAGATGGATGAATGGACAGACAGACAGATGGATGGGTGGATGGATGGACAGATGGATGGATGGGGGACAGATGGACAGATGGGTTGGGTGGGTAGACAGACAGATGAGGCATATATAGACTAACGAACACCCACTTCCTCATTTACACCCTTCAACACCATTAAACTAACAGCCCAACCCACGTTCTCTCAGGCTTTCACTGAATGCACTTCTGTTTCAGGATACAAACTTTGCTCTCTCTGAAGCCATATGGAAAACCAGCCTGAGGGTTTGAATGTGTGTGTAAATACTTTACAATCCCCATAAACTTGTTTAAAGACAGGTGGGGGTGAAAATATAAACTGGGGCAGCCTTTTGGGAGGGCAATTTGGAAGTAGCTATTAACATTTTAAATGTGCCTACCACCGAGACCCAGCAGGTCCTCTGTCAGTTGTCAAGCGTGAGAACTATATTCGTACACTTGTGCACAAAGAACCGCGTGCCAGGCGCTCGTACGAGTATGTTTGTTGCTGCCCTGCTCATAACAGTGAAAAACTGGAAATAGCTGTGTCCGTCAACAGAGGGATGGTAACTGCGGAACATCTGTACTATGGAAAAAGCTGCAGAGGTGGAAAGATCTCTCTGATCTTCTGAGACTCTACAACAGATGCTCCCTCCCTACCTCATTTCCATCAACTTCTTTTCCTTTCTCCCACCTCTCCCTGCCCACCAAACACAGTTTCCTGGAATTAGATCTTTAATCCTTATAGCTACTTGCCAGTGACCTTCCCTTACAGAAAAGGAGGAAAATGAGAGAAAAGCAGTTCTGTGCATAATTACTGTCTGCTGGCTCTTCAATTAAAAAGATTGAAAGGCACAATATTAAACTTTGATTTATGGGCATCAGTCATAATGAGGCTGAGAGGGAAAAAGAGCTACAGTTGTTACAGAAAACGTAGCTTTTTTTCCTCCCCCAGGAGATAAATTGCCTCTCATTTTCTTATTGCTAAAGAAATGTGAAATGTTTTTAAGCCTATGTGATATGTTCTTCCAGTATGTTAAAATCCAGAACTTACTAATTCAGGAGTCATCTGGCTCCGACATTTCTAGGAAGCTTCCCGAGAGGGTAGCAGCTTGAAGCTGTAGGGGCGCTGCCACCGTTCACCAGCAACCAGACCCAGGGACTGGTGCTGCCACTCCATCGCGGAAACTCCCTCTGGGTCCCAGGGCACCAAGCCAGCTGATGTCCAGAGCTCAGGAGGGAGGGGGAAGAGCACAGAATCCAGTTCCAAGTCCCAACTTTGCTGCTTACTAACTATTCGGCCCTCAGTTTCTTCATCTGTAAATTAGGAACAGTAACCTTACTAATTGTGCGTTGGGCAAACGCCCCAGTTTTCCCATCTGAAGGATTTGAGAGGCCCTGCCTCCGAGGCTTGTAGTAAGGATTAAATCAGCGAATTCGTGTAAACTGCCTGGATGAGTAGCTGCCACATTGCAAGGGCTCGGTAAAGACTTTTTCAATCATTGTCATTACTATTGCAGATGCCTTTGTTGTAATTCAAAGAGCTGGAATTCAAACCCAGGCCTTCCATTTCCAGGGTGCTGGCTGATGGGGGGCACACAGACCTGGGGGTGATGTCCAGTGCTTCCTCTCTCCAGCTGGTACCCTGGGCAAGTCCTGGTCCCTCCCTGGGCACCGTTCTACTCATTTGTAAAATAATAGTTTCTACTTTGCAGACAGTGTTGTCAGGTTTAAAGATTAATGGAAACAAAATGTCCAGGACACAATTAGTGCTGGATAGATGGCAGTAACCCTCGAAAAGGAGAGGTCTTTCTTGAGAAGCCTGTTTGGTAAACGCTCTCCCCGGGGAGAAGGGATGTGTGTCTGGTTTCTGTCCTCTTTGCTCACCGGGGCTCTGCGGCGGACGCCTGCAGAACTCCGCCTTCCTGAAGGGCGCGAAGTGTCCCCTGGGTCTAAAATTAATAGCCACAAAGAAAAAGAAAAAGGGCAGCCGTTGTGCCAAGAACTGTGTTGAGCTTGACTTGCAGCAATGCAGGTATTTTTATGGCAACCTGGAAGTGAGCTTCTTATTTTCATGAGGCAGATCAGACATGGGGACAGGCAACTGGCACAAGGACACAAAGCTGGGAGATGACCAGGCTAGCAGTTTGACCTAGGACTGTCGAATTCTTTCTGCCACACTCTGGCACGTTCCAGAGCCCCCATCCCAATTCCCAGTCAGTGACCTCCCCTCCTCCTCGCCCTGTCTCACCTCCATCCCAGCTCCTCAGACCCATCACTGCCCAGCAGGTTGGCCACACCATCGCCTTGTGCTTTTACTGGTGTCTTCCCACCAGTGCTTCTTAAGCTGGAGAGTCAAATACTGAATGCTCGCATTAGGTTGTGTAGAACATTTTGTTCTGTGTGTCTGAATTCATGGGTATTTAATCTCTTTAAGATGCTCTGGGACCAGGCTGGGGAAAATGGATTCTGGGTGCCACGCAACCCCTTGCCATGCCCCTCTGGGAAGGGCCCCGTCCACACTTGGGACCCTGCAGGGCTTGGCCTGCCCTTCTCCTATAACCTCCCCTTGGGAAGAGGAGGGCGGGATTTTGCACACACTTCTTTTTGCCCAGCTCATGGCACTTCTTTGTTTTCAGTTGAGAGGGAAAATGTGCAGAAGAGGACCTTTACGCGATGGATAAATCTACATCTAGAGAAGGTAAGTGGGCCCTGGAGTTTCTAAGTGGTAGATTCGTCCGTAACTGAGTGTACAGTTCATTGTGCGCTGAGAAAGAAGTGATGGCTCTGTGTTGGTGGGGGGGGTGTTATGTTTTTTTCATTAATTCGTTTACACATCTACGGAGTGCGTTCTCCTTGCTGGGTGTCCAGCTTGGAGCTGGGAACATGGAGGTAAGACAAGACGTGGTTTTCTCCTCTTGGGGTTCTCAGTCTCGTTGGCGAAGAAGAGGTGTGTCTTTCAGTAGGAATAGATGAGCAAAAGTAGAAGACCTTCCTGGTTGGAAGAATCCAGACCTTTCTATGGGCAGGAGGCAGTTGTCCTCGGATGCAAACCCAGCGGGGTGGGAGGCGTCTTGAGGTCTAGTACTTGGATTGATTTATGCGAGAACTCCTGACGCCTCTCAGCAAGGCCAGGTGCCCTTGTAAACCACACAGCCTTGCTATTAATCAGCAGCATCCCCTGCCCCTTTTGGTGCATCGGTACCCTGCTTAGCGCACCGCACATCTCTTTTAGCCTCATGATGATTCTCGTTACCCCTCGTTCTGTTACAAATGAGCAAACAGAGGCTTCGAGAAGGTAGAAGGCTTCTGCAATCCACCACCTAGAAAGAGGCTCCTCCTGGGCCTTCTGCACATTCAGCTTCATGGCCCTTCTTTCCCCCTTTTCCTTTCTTGGTAACATTCTCGGGCCGGGCCATTTTGAATTGCATTTTGTCTATAAGCTTCTCGTGCATACACACCGTAAAACGAAAGCGCTCAACCACCTCGTCCTAAGAAGCGGACAGAATGATGAGTAGCAGAAAAGGGGCAGGGACCTGATAAACAGCTCGGAGGGAGAAATCTGAGCCACCTCGCGCACTGGGTTAGGCCCCAAGACAGGAAATATTCTAAGTTGCCCCGGGCTGGGGGAGGAGAGAGTCTTTCTCTCTTTAAAGGCTGCCGGATTTATCAGGATTCGTTTTACTCTCTGCATTTCTTCTTAAATTCCACTCCCTGGTTCTCCGAAGAGACCCAGTCCAGTCCTCTCATTTCTTTCTAAAGCTGGTAGTATTCAAGTACCCCACTTGAATTATTTTAGAAATATGTGTTTTACTCTCTCCTCTCCTCTTAAAAGGTACGGGAGTAACCATTGACTGTCCTTAGAGTTAACCCAAAAGAAAGGTTCTTAGGGGAAATCATCGTAATGGTTAGAAAGCAGAGAAAATAAATAAATGTGGTTTTTAGGATCTAGAGCTCCTGATCCAAATTCTCATTCACATAGGTTACCTTTAGGCCTGTAGTATTTCCCGAGCAGGCCCTGGACCACCCACACCTCTGTTCCCCACCCATCGAATGGGTTCCTTGGCTCAGGAGGTTCCTGAACTCTTTAGGTGAAAGTCTGTGTGTCATGGGTGAAGCATTATAAATCATTTGCCACTTGTTTTGACTATTGGTGCGTTTTGGCAGTGCTCATAAAGTGACATGTTATTTTTGGAAAAAAGGAAACCCGTTCCCCAAACCTGATTTCACTGAACTCCTAAATTGATGCCTGATGTGTGTCCGGGTAGCTGGAAATTCCTCCTGGTGGACAGAGTGTAGCCATGGCGTCTTTCTTTCTTTTTTTTTTTTTTTTTAAATTAAAAAATAAATACAGCGAAGTGCAGAGGGTGACATAGCACATACCCACGCGCTCACTCACCCCCCTGAACCTCTGTCACCATTTCTCGTATCCGGGGTTTTCTCCTTGGCTGTGCCCCTCCTTTTTCTGGGCAGGTGGGTAGCACCCACTCTGAAGACAAATCAGATAGCACCTGAAACTGATGCCTAATATAAACAGGGCAAAATTAACAGCCGTGTTTCCAACCTTGAGACTCTCAAGAACCCCCTTTCATGTAAAGGAAACCCAGGAACGCCTTGGGGAATTGGGCTTAACTGCAATTTGAAGGCTGTCAGAAATATTTACTGAGTCTCTGGCTTCTGGAAAAATTCCTTAATTCACCCAAGGCATTAGATCACGAAGAAAGCCCTGGGGGTTCTGTTTATTTGGCCATACCAATCTCGTGAAGCCCGCGGAAGGCTGGGGCCCGGAGAGTGTTTTCACTGGAGCCATTTCAATTTCTCCTCCTGCCATCTCGCAGGATGGACTCCAGCCAAGGCCCCGTGTGCTGCTGCCGCGGCGGCTCTTACAGACACTGTCAATGGAAATTATTCTCCAGCTTGAATGCAGAAGCAGGGCTTGGCCACGGTCGGGGCTGGTCACTGGGAATTTTGTTAGTCCATCGATCAGGGGGTGTTTTGTTCGGGTCTCACGGTTTCTGCCTCGCATTAACAGGAATAACATTTCCGTAAGAGGCTCTGTAACCTGACGCCGGCAGCCCGGGAGGAATGCACCCGAGAAGCTGCGGGAGTTTGCAGAGAAAATAGTTTGCCTTTTGGTTCAAAGTCTCTGCTGTCCTTGAAGCAGAGCCCTCTTCTGTGCACCTGTGGGTGGAACTGCCCCGTATTTTGACTCACGGGGGGTCGGGAGCTCACGTGTAAGGAGTAAGGAAATGCCACCTTCCTTAATAAGAAAAGAAAACACAGACCCTCAAGGCTCTCACGGGGAGGAGGCCTTCCTGGAGGAAGAGGGTGCCGGGGCCACAGCTCCACCGTGTTTCCAAGATTTTCCTTACTCTGGCCTTTCTTTCCTTTTCCTGGCTCTCTGGCTGGTTACAGTTGCCGCCACCCCCATGCGTCCTGTCTCCTATGTGAACACCTCCTTCCATTGTACCCAGGAGCAGAGTGAGCACCCAGCCCAACTGTTGTAATGTTGCCAAAGGCCCCAGTTCCAAAAGCTAAACAGAGAATTCATGCCGGGGTCAGGGCTCATTAAAAATGCACGTTTCAGGACCCTGTTCCCTGAGAATCTGGGGCAGCAGGCGCTAACCTTACTGCATTCAGGAGTTATTATCAAACTTGTTTAGTCAACAGAGAGCTTTCTTCAAGCAAAGTCTTACCTAGAACCCTAAATAAAGGCCGATAAGAGCTGAGCCTCTGATAAGTGGGTACAGTGCCCCCATGGGGTGCCCTGAAGCCGCTCTGCTGACGCCTAGGGTTCCGGGAAACAGTTTGCAAATCCCTTCATTGGAGCATCTGACTATAAGTTACCGCCAGCCCCACGGACCCCAGGCTGCATCCGGCCAAGCTCTCGTTGGACCCCGTGTTGGACGGCACAGCATCGGGTCACCTAGACTGTGGATCTCTCCAGGTCAAGCTCAGAGAGGAAAGCTGGGGTCCTCCTTCCCACGCAGGCCTTCTCCATGCTCCGGATCCTGTGTGGAGAGTTCTCTTTTCCCCTGGGAAGAGGGGAGAGCCCGGGTGAACTGGGGCTGCCACTGAATGACCCGGGGAACCCAGAACAAGAAGCAAGTGGGGCCGAGAGAGGGTAATTCAAGAGCCGTTCCATGAGGAGGGCCAGCTGAGGACATCCCCCTTGCACATCTCCAGCTGGGAGGTGTACAGCCCCTGGATGCAATGCCTTACTAGAGAGGGCCCCCCAAGACTCGGCAGAAACCAGCTTAATAGTAAGCTGGTTTTACTGATGCTGTTAATCTGGGAAGGTGCTATTAATCTGTGGCAGACACTTTACCTGCATGATCCCATTCCATTTTGGCCTCTATCCTCTGGGACCTTGCATATGAAGACTCTCAGGCCCAGGGAGGTTAAGGAAAACCACCAAGGGCAAGTCCCTGTTGAGGGCAGACGCTGGATTTGAACTCAGTCGTGTTGCTTCTCTCGGAACAGGTGAAAGGTGCGTCTTGAGACAACATTGGTTCATCTCAAGAATCTTGGATTTGTGGAGGAACAGAGGGAGTGGCATTCAGCTGATTAACTTTTTTATACAATTTTAATTAGTTTGATTTGTTAGAAAGAGCATGTGTTGCTTTGATAGCTAAACATGGAAATGTGTATGAGCTTGTACATATAAATGAGCCTCTCAACCTTTGAGTTCCCGACGGACCTACACGCTTGGGGGTGGAAGGAATTCTCTCCCGCTCCCGACCATCAGCCGTTCAGTGGGCCCGCTGTGTGTCCATCCACCCTCCACTCCCTCTCAAGTCACTCACAGCAGCCACCCACCTGGCTTCCTCTGCTGAGGGCCCCACCTCCAAACCTGGACCAAATATTGATGAAGTGACAACAGGCACCTCAGGCAGGCGCACCCGTGGAGACTGAGCAGGTCCTGAAGGTGGGGGGCCCTGCCAACACCCCAACTGAGGCCCAGAGGGTCACTGACCATGGTCACGTCATCACGGTGGGATCCAGGCTGCCCTTGTGTTCACCCCATGTGTCCTGGCGAGGAAGCAGGACTGTACCAGAGAGGTGACCTGACCGAACACTGGGCATGCCACCCAGCCTCTTGGAACCTGTTTCCCCAAATCTGAGGTGAAGGGCTTGCACTAGCTAGCTTCCTGTGAGCCCTGCTTCTAGAATTATTTTACTCTGTGGAAGACTGTAACCAAGACATGCATTTCTTTCTCTCCTCAAGGAGGAATGTGGATGTAATCTACTTTGGGGGTCTGATATCCCAGATTAGAAGGGTCCCCACGGGTCTCTTGTTCAGTTGGCTGCCTGACGCTGAGTCCCACCCGTCCCCCCCCCCCCCACCCCCCGGCCGCACTCCAGCTCACCTCCCGCCCGGCACCACCTTCAGGGACATGGGCTCACTCCCTCCTCAGGCGGGCCTTGCTGCCCGGCTGTAGGTGGGTCTGGAAGTCTGGACACTTTGTCTTGAGTGAAACCTGCAGCCCTGAAGTTCTTGTGTGGATGCCACAGGTCACTAATCAGCTGCTTTCTTCACCTTCTTCCACAGTGCGACCCACGTCTGGAAGTGAAAGATCTGTTCATTGATATACAAGATGGCAAAATCCTAATGGCTTTGTTAGAAGTCCTGTCTGGGCGAAATCTGGTACGTACGTCATAGAAGCGTCGGGAGGAAATAAGATGCGAAGGAGAACAGTGCTGAAGGTTTCTTTCCAATACTGATCTATGTGCGTGTACACATTCCTGGCCATAAGTAAGTCCTGTGGCAGGAAACCTGGCAGGTGACATTCCTTTCCCAGGGACTAAGAGTGATATTGTGGGTAACTAAGCAGTATCTTTCTTTTTTCTTTTTTAGCAAATGTACTTTAGTAAGTAAGTAAATAAATGCTCAGTCTTTTCTGAGTCCTTTAAGGCTATAGATGGGAACGAGATCATTAAAGTTTAGCTCACCAGTGATTTTATTAATTAGAATGATAGCTAAGAATCAGGAAGATGGAGGAGAAAGACCTCATGCCAACCAAATTCTATTATCCATCCCGAAGCGAAATCTAGAACTGCTGGCTTCTAGAACCCTCTTATAAGTATGACTGAAGTTGAATTGAAGCAGCTGGTCTTGAGGTTCATGAGTGGGAATGAATCCCACTTTGGCTCCTTGCAGACGTCCCCCTGTTGCGTGTGTCTGCTGTGTGCAGTTCGGTCCTCTTTCTCCCCTGCACAGAGCAGCGTTTCTCAGCCTCAGCACTGTTGACATTTGGGTCGGATCGTTCTCTGTCGTGGGGCTGTCCTGGGTGTTGCAGGATATGTGATGGCATCCTTGGTCTCTACCCACTGGATGCCAGGTGTGACAACCAAAAACGTCCCTAGACATTGCCAGACGTCCCCTGAGGGGGCACGGTGATTTGGCCAAAACGCCAGCAGTGTCGATGGTGAGAAACCCTGCTCTGGAGTCGGGTGTTTGATTTGGCCTGAGTGACCCATGGTGGCCGATAGAGAGGTGCAGTGATGGAGTCCAGCTCTCCCAAGCCGCAGCTCAGCCCGGCCGGGCCTCTCCAGATCTGTGTTCAAAGTCAAGGGCCCCTACTCTGCCTCAGATCTATTGTAGCTGGAGTCTTATCACACCCTTCACCCTTCCCGTCTTTGCTGTCCCAGTAGCAAAATGGGAGATGCCCGTGAGCCGCACCCCAAGGGGCTGTGCACGGTTACGTGATGAATCCCAATGAAGGCTGCACCCGTTGCAGTAAACATAGCATTTGGTTTCTTAGCAGGTCTAGCAATGAGCCAGCAGCGTCGTTCCCAAAGGGCTTCCTGAAAAACTGTATTGAAGTCCCTCGTTCTGTGTTCCCGGCAACACAGGCTCCCACTCTGTGGCCCGAGCACTGGGCGATGCTGCCATGTCCCTGATGGGCCTCCGTTAAGAGTCTTTGATTCTGGAGCCCAGCTGAGAACAGGCCTCCTCTTCCCCACCAGCCCTGCCTGGCGGTTCCCACCTGGTGGAGCTGACGCCACGGGTTTGCTTTGTTGCGTAAACCATCCACCTGGAGGAGCCTCAGTGAGCTTCAGTTCAGGAGGAGCTGTGTGATGCTGCTCCCAGGACTGACAGCTGACGGCTGAGTCGGCTTCTCCAGCACCTGTCTCGCTTTCTGTGTGCCACACTCTGTTTCTCTCTTTCTCCCTCTCTCCATCTCTCTCTGTCTTTTTCTCTGTCTTTGTCTCTGTCTGTCTCTCTGCCTCTGTATCTCTGCCTCTATCTTTCTCCCTTTGTCTCTCTCTTTCTTTGTCTCTCTCCCTCCTCCTCTCTCATTCTGTTCCCCTCTCTCTCTCCCTCTCTCTCCCTCCCCCTCTCTCCTGCCCACCCTCTCCCCTTCTCTCCCCCACACCCAGACCTGGGATAACTGTCCACAAAGCTCTTGGCCAGAAACCAGAAACGTCTGCTGCCCAGGGAGGGACTCGGAGGATGATTTAGGGGCTGTGTGGTGACGCCCCCAGCGGACGCCCCCTGCCCTGACAGAAGCCATCAGCGCAGCAGACGTGTCACTGCAGGTCTCTGCAGGAGGGAGGGGTATCCAAAGCCAGGAACCGGGTTGGAGAGAAAAATCTGACGACTCTGTCCCTCGTTTAACCCACCTGGGTCCCCCCCATTCACCAACTCGAGTGAGTTAACTCCCAGGAACCATAAATAAGGGGTGGGTTTCAGCTCTGAGCCCCTAACTTCCTCTTGAGATTCATGTGAAAAAGGTACAGAATAAGAAAAACACACCCAGCGGCACCCCTGGGCATTGAGCGCCTCTGTTGGTTTCACTGCTCATTTTGCTCTGTTTTGTGTTACAGCTGCATGAGTACAAATCCTCGTCCCATCGTATTTTTCGGTTGAACAACATAGCGAAAGCACTTAAGTTTTTGGAAGATAGCAATGTGAGTATTTGAAACACATCTTGTAGACACGGGCTTTCCTGTGACAAAAAGGATGTAATTTGAAGTGCTGGTCGCAGGAGAAGCGTGTAAAGCGGACCCTGCTAAAATGGTCAAATTAAACTAAGTTTACATGTAACGGAACTCACTCAGCTAATCCAGCAGTTGGAGCGATAGTCCCTGACTCCCCCCCCCCGCCGCCCCTCTGTGTCCATCAGGATGAAAACTCTGATGGACATCCAGTCATGGGAAGGACGGAACAGCTGACTGGCTCTCAGATCCTTAGAACTTAGTTGACATTTTCTTTTTCATTCCCTTGAATAAGGGTACAGTGAGCAAGTCAGACCGTGAAACTTTCTCTTAGAACTCAGAATGTGGGAGAAGCAAAGAGGAAAAGGGGTTAAATGAGCCAGGGGAAAATTACAAAATTCTCCCCTCTTTGATAGAACCTTCTAGACTTAAATTCACTTTTTCTGTCTTTTGATCTCTGATTCATGTCCTTCAAAAATGAGAAGGGGTAACCCTAGAGGGGTGAAATTTCCAGAGCTCCGCTTGCATTGTTTCACCAGTTAGTCTGGGGAAAACCCCTGAGCATCAGCGTGGATGGTGAAGCTTCATCTGATTCACTCGGGGCTCTCGATGGGAAGCGGTGGAAGCTGACCTCGGCTGGGGGAAGCAGACAAGGAATTGGCTGGAAGGATGCTGAGTAGGGCACGGAATAACTTGAAGGGCCGGAGAGTCAGGGATGGAACCTGGGGATGCCAGGCCTGCGGTGCCCCCTCAACCTGCTGCCCCCGCTGCCTCTGGGAGAAGGACATCACTGCCGCCACCATGGGCCCTGGAATGAACTCCATGACACACGTTCAGATCCAGAGGCCTGGGCTGCCAAGCCTGGACCACTGCCCACACCCCAGCTGCCAAGTGGGGAGGGGAAACACCTTTGGCTTCTGAAGGGGGAGGTGGGCTGGCTCTGCCTGCCATACTGTGGGGAAAGCCCCAGACTTGGGAGGGAGTTCAGACGTGGCAGCCACAAGCCCAGCAGAGTTCATAGCAGCATCATTGACAGGAGCCAAAAGGTGGAAGCAACCCAAATGTTCACCAATGGATGAATGGGTAAACAAAATGCAGTATATCCATACAATGGAATATTATTCAACCATGAAAAAGAATGAAGTACCAGTACAGGCTACAGCATGGATGCACCTTGAAAACATGAAAGATGGCAGATATGGAGGACCACTTATTCTATGATTCCATTCCTTTGAATTATCCAGGACAAGGAAATCTCTAGAGGCAGAAAATAGATTAGTGGTTGCTTAGGGTTGAGGGAGGATGGGGGATTATAGGGGTGATCCATAAAGAGCCTGGGTTTTTTTCTGAGGTGATGAAAACATTCTAAAATTGACTGTGGTGTTTCCAGCATCAAGAAGGTGGTGCAGGTGGACTCTGAACTCACCTCCTCCCATGGACTCAACAAATTTACAGCTACTTTTGGAACAATTACTCCTGAGAGAGAACTGAAAACTGGGTAAAAAGAACACTCACAACAAGGGACAGTGCTGACTGAGGCGGAAGAGGCAGGAATTCCTTCCTGGAGAGGAAAAAGCCACGTCCAAGCCATAGCGCTTCACGGCCAGCCAGGAGCAATCTTAAGCCACATAGAGGATCAGCCCCACTTTCCAAACCTGAAACAATTGTGTGCTCCCGTGCCCAGGGCTGGCCCCACTCAGCTGCACTCCTGAGAGAGCTGACAACAGCCTTGCAAGCTGAAGACCTACAGCAATTGTCAGCCCCTGAGCCTAGCAGCCAGCCACACTCAGTGCCTACCCACTTAATAGAAAAACTGCAACAGGAATGTGCTATTAGACCTCCCAGCCAACTGCACTGGGGCTGCCCACACTCAAGAAAGTCACTGAAGGGACCATAGCAGCTGCACACCGCTGAGCATTACAACCATCCCACAAGGGGGACAGCCTAGCCTCCCTGTGCACCTGCAGCAAGAGCAACCCTACCACAACAGAAGGACACATGTAGCCCACACAGGGGACACTCCTGGAACATTTGGAACTGGTGACAAGAGGAAAGCACACTGCTGGGCTGCACAGGGCATCTCTTACATAAGCCCATTTCTCCAAGATCGGAAGACATAGCTGATCTACCTAAAACGTAGATATAAACACAGAGAAAGAGGCAAAATGAGGAGACAAAGGAATATGTTCCAAACAAGGGACCAGGAAAAATCTACAGAAAAATAACTAAATGAAACAGAGATAAACAATCTACCTGACAAAGAGTACAAACTAATAGTTATAAGGATGCTCACTGATCTTGGGAGAAGACTGGATGAACTCAGAACTTCAACAAAGAATTGGAAAATATAAAAAAGAAACAAATTCACTAGAGGGATTCAATAGCAGAGTAGATGATACAGAAGAACAGGTCAGTGAGCTGGTTGAAAGACTAGAGGAAATCACCAAGCTGAACAGATAAAAGAAAAAAGAATTAGGGGCCAGCCCTGTGGCCAAGTGGTTAAGTTTGCATGCTCCACTTGGGCAGCCCAGGGTTTGCTAGTTCAGATCCTGGGCAGGGACCTACACACCACTCATCAGGCCATGCTGTGGCAGCATCCCACATAGAAGAACTAGAATGACCTACAACTAGGATATACAACTATGTACTGGGGCTTTGGGGAGAAAAAAAAAGGAACATTGCAACAGATGTTAGCTCAGGGCCAATCTTCCCTTACCAAAAAAATAGTAAAAAAAAAAAAAAAAAAAAAAGGATTAAAAGGAACAAGGACAGGGGCTGCACAGTGCTTAGGTTTGCGCACTCTGATTCCACGGCCCAGGGATCGCTGGTTCGGATCCTGGGTGTAGACCTACACACCGCTTATCAAGCCATGCAGTGGCAGGCATCTCACATATAAAGTACAGGAAGATGGGGACATGAATGTTAGCTCAGGGCCAGTCTTCCTCAGCAAAAAGAGGAGGATTGGTGGCAGATGTTACCTCAGGGCTAATCTTCCTCAAAAAAAATAAATAACAAGGACAGTCTAAAGGACCTCTGGGACAACATCAAGCACACTAATATCCATATTGTAGGTGTCCCAGAAGGAGAAGAGAGAGACAAAGGAGCAGAGAATCTATTTGAAGAAATAATAGCTGAAAACTTTCCTAACCTAAGGAAGGAAACAGACATCCAGGTACAGGAAGCACAGAGAGCACCAAACAAGATAAACACAAGGAGGCCCACACCAAGACACATTGTAATTAAAATGTCAAGAATGAAAGGCAACAAGTTACAGACAAAGGAAACCCCATGAGGCTATCAGCTGACTTCTCAGCAGAAACCTTACAGGCTAGACGGGAGTGGCACTATATATGTAAAGAGCTGAAAGGAAAAAACCTACAGCCGAGAATACTTTACCCAACAAGGTTATCATTCAGAATGGAAGGAGAGGTAAAGAGTTTCCCAGACAAGCAAAAACTAAAGGAGTTTATCACCTAGAAATCAGCCTTACAAGAAATGCTGAAGGGACTTATTTAAGTGGAAAAGACCACAAATAGGAATAAGAAAATTATCAAAAAAAAAAAAAAACAATAAAACCACGAGTAAAGGCAAATATACAGTAAAGTTAGCAGATCAACCACCTATGAAGCTAATATGAAGGTCAAAAGAGAAAAGTACTAAAATTATCTATTTCCACGATCAGAGGGTAATGGATACACATACACAAAAAATAAGTTAGATATGATATCAAAAACATAAAATGTGGGGCCGGCCCCGTGGCCGAGTGATTAAATTCGCGTGCTCCGCTGCAGGTGGCCCAGTGTTTCATTGGTTCGAATCCTGGGTGAGGACATGGCACCACTCATCGAGCCACACTGAGGCAGCGTCCCACATGCCACAACTAGAAGGACCCACAACTAAGAATATACAACTATGTACCAGGGGGCTTTGGGGAGAAAAAGGAGAAAAATAAAATCTTAAAAAAAAAACCATAAAATGTGGGAGGAGAATAGTAAAAGAGTAGAGCTTTTAGCAAGAGGTCAAGCTTAAGAGACTATCGGCTTAGTATAGATTGCCATATACGTAGGTGATTATAAATGAACCTCATGGTAATCACAAACCAGAAACCTATAATAAATGTACAAAAAATTAAGAGAAAGGATCCCCAACATAATACTAAAGAAAGCCATCAAACCACAAGGAAATAGAGCAAGAGAAGAAGAAAGGAACAGAGAACTACTAAAATATCCAGAAAAAAAGTAACAAAATGGCAATATGTACATTCTTATCAATAGCTACTTTAAACGTCAATGGACTAAATGCTTCAATCAAAAGACATAGGGTGGGGGGCCAGCCCTGTGGCTGAGTGGTTGGGGTTCCACACACTCTGCTTCAGAGGCCTGGGTTCACAGGTTCAGATACCCGGTGTGGACCTGCTCCACTTGTCCACCATGCTGTGGAGGCATCCCACATACAAAATAGAAGAAGATTGGCACAGATGTTGGCTCAGGGCTAATCTTCCTCACCAAAAATAAAAAAAAAAAAGACATAGGGTGGCTGATTGGATAAAAAAACATGACCCATATATATATTGCATACAGGAGACAAACTTTAGACCTAAAGGTACTCAGAAACTGAAAGTGAAGGGATGGAAAAAGATACTCCAGGCAAATGGCAATGAAAAGAAAGCTGAGGTAGCAATACTTAGATCAGACAAGATAGACTCTAAAACAAAAACTGTAACAAGAGACAAAGAAGGGCACTATGTAATAGACATAAGAGCACCTAAATATATAAAGCAACATAAAAGGAGAAATAGACAGCAACACAATAATAGTAGGGGACTTTAACATTCCATTTACACCAAAGAGTAGCTCATCCAAACAGAAGATCAATAAGGAAACACTGGCCTTAAATGAGACATTAGACCAGATGGACTAAGTAGATATATACAGAACATTCCATCCAAAAACCACAGAATACACATTCTTTTC